AGTATATTGCAACGAATACATTCCAACAAGGTTTGTGCGGTGAATGAAACTGTTCCAAATGCAGTGCATGTGAGGTTCAAATGATTCCTGTTGGTCGGGATTTGGACCAGGTTCACATGGACCAAATGCTGAAAAGTATATTGCAACGAATACATTCCAACAAGGTTTGTGCGGTGCATGAAACTGTTAGGTTCAGGTTCATGTGGTGCATATGAATGACCGACCTTGACTCGGAGTATGTGCTCTTGTCAGCTGAGATGGCACTGTACAGTGTACACATATAATCATCCATCATCATCACTGGTATCTTTGTGTTTTTTCATATTTTTCGTTACCATTGTTTCTTTCTCGGCTTTGCCTCCAGCGTGAGCCAACCCTTGGATTTCCCCTCTCCTCCAACGCTCTCCTCTGCCTCTTGCTGCACCCCTTGTCGCCACTTCCTATTCCCCCTCGAGCCCACCCCACTGTCTCTTCTTCGAACCCTCTCCTCTGCCCCCTGCTGCATCCCTAGACTGAGTAGACTCCACTTCCTATTACCCTACTTCCCCCCGCCCTCTTCACCGCTTAGCCCCTCCTATTGCGNTAGGTTTTGAATGGTGGGGATGTTTCATGGCGTATTATCTTCACACACCCCTTCCCGGTGCTCCAAGACTACATGGGTGGGTGTCTAGGCCATGAAGGGTGAATGGTGGGAGCACCGGGAAGGGGTGTGTGAAGATAATACCCGACCCTGTGCACACTGTGATCTCAGGGTCAGTATAGCTGTATTTGGGGCACCTTTCTGCCTATATATGGTGATAATGACTTCGTGTCCTATTCGGTTGAAGACAGTACCCCCAACAGTAGATTGGATCAAGGGCTGCGGGGGATGCGTCAGTGCAAGATAGGAGGTGACCCCGTGCACCCTATGATGTCACGGGTGTGTTGTGCTACCATCGTCACCCGAATAGAATGCCCGTTCATTATAGCTGTATTTGGGGCAACTTTTAGTCTGATAATAACCAGGCGTTCTATTCGGGTGAAGACGGTAGGTCCTGAAGACAACATCGATGTAAGGGCTGCAGGGGATGAGTCAGGTGCTTCCAAGGCTTTGAAGTGTGAATGGTGGGAGAACCGGCAAGGGTTGTAATTCAAAAAAAAAATTCTTCGATAGTTCACACGCCTTTTTCTTCGATAGTTCACACGTCTTTTTCTTTTGAAAGGGCGACAGCTTCGATATCGTATCATCGTGGAACTAGCCTACCCAACGTAATTAAAAAAAAAAAAAATCTTCATCCATCTGGATTCGGACTCAGGTCTGTATTTCAACAGTTCATGGGTGTACCGTCTGAGTTGGCTCAAATATTGTTGCTGCGTCCTTCGGGACATCCGTTGAAATTTGATACGATAGAGAGAAGATTAGCATGGCCCCTGCGCAAGGATGACACACATCAATTGAGAAATGGTCCCCCCCTTCCCCCCCCCACAAAAAAAGAAAAGAAAAAGGTTGTTTGCTGCTTTCAGCTGGTGTTCCCTTGTAGCCCCACAAAAAAAGAAAAGAAAAAGGTTGTTTGCTGCTTTCAGCTGGTGTTCCCTTGTAGTAAACATAAGAGTATCAGAGAGATTGAGAGAAGATGGAGCAATTGGGGTGTTAAGCTTTGGATGAAAAAAAAGGGCGATCCCCTGATATTGCCTGCTGACTTGTGTTCTTTCCGGCTCTCTGTCTTGTGTTCTCTGGGCTGTGTCGTGTATGTTTGGTGGTGTGGCTCGTCCATCCTTTCGGTCTTTATCATCCTCAACAATTGGGGTTTGCATCAGATTGCGAACGTCTCTTTGTCTGCAGTTCAAGCCCCATCACATCGCTGCAGGCGCTATCTTTCTCGCTGCAAAATTTTTGAAAGTGAAGTTGCCATCGGAGGGGGATCGAACATGGTGGCAAGAATTTGGAGTTACACCGAAACAATTGGAAGGTGAGTTAAGAGAAAAGGAAAAAAAAAAAAAAAAAGGCGCGAAGAATTTGGGATTATGCCGAAGCAATGGGAATGAGAGTCGAACTGGCCAGTTCCGTCAGAAGCAGAATACTGCTCTCGCCGGTTTCACGCGATACGACCGTTTCGATTCGGGAGTGGCCCGGTAGCAAAAGTCGTCGCATGCCACTTTGGAAAAAAGGTGCAGTTGCTGGCACACAAGCCTTGGAAGGTAGTAGCCGTGTCAACTTATGTGAGAATAAAACTGGGCAGTTCGTTTGTTCGCCTGAAGTAGGATACTTCTAAGTCTCATTCCGCTGGTTTCACACGGTAATAAGACCATTAAATGAACTGTCAACAAATTTCGATTCCGGCGTGGCCCGGTAGCAAAAGTCTCATTCCACTTTGAATGGATGGAGCAATAGGGGGCACCTCTACCTGCTAGCAGGGGCAGCTCATATCACCCGCCCTACCGTCTTCGCCCCCGAATAGAACGCCCGGTCATATAGCCGTATTTGGGGCACATGTGAGTCCAGATCCCGCCATAATGACCAGGCGTTCTGTTCAGGTGTAGACGGTAGTAGCGGCTACCAGTTATTAAAAAAAAAAGAAAAAAAAGGTGCAGTTGCAGGCTGACAAGCCTTGGAACTTCGCTCTGTCAACTTAGAATTGTGGGAACTGGCCATTTGTCTTGGGAGATATCCTGGGCGCCCGGGTCCCGACGTCACGCCCGGTTTGGCGACCGGGTGACTGGACGGGCATGACCCCCGGGCATGGGCCCGGGCAGTCCAGCGCAAAGTTGTGTACAATTGCAATACAAACAACTTTTGGCTGAGGGTCACATCAGAATTCCTCACGGAACGGAAGATAAAGAAGAAAATAACCAAATCACAGATAAAGAAGAAAATAACCAAATCACACTGAGGCACCCCCCTTTAAACCCCTTTAGCCCCTTTAAAATTCATTTGTACTCCCCTCCCCCCCGCCTTTGACAGCCAACACTCAAAAAAAGAGAAGAGCCTGGATTTGGGCACCTCTCGGAGAGCGCGGAAATACCCCACCGCAAACTTTTATTTTTATTTTTCCCCCCATGCCCGGGTATCCTGGGCGTCAGACCCCCTCGGGCATCACGCCCGGGCGAATGGCCGGTCCAGACCGGCCGGTCCTGAAAATCTTCCTAGCTGTTTGTGCCGAAAAAAAAAAAAATGGTGGCCTGAATTTGGAGTTACTCCGAAAGAATTGGAAGGTGAGTCTGAAAGAAAAAAGAACAAAAAAATAATATTGCAGGTGAGTTAAGCAATTGGTGCATTTCGGAGTGGAGTGTTGGAGATTTCTTTTTTTTTTTTGCCTGCTTCCTCCTGTTTCTACTGTCGTTTATTGGCTGCTATGCATTCAGGACGATGTGGGTTCAATCCTTGCTGACCACCTGGGGCATGCTTGGTGCCAATTAACTGAGATATTTTTTTTTTGCTCCCCGTGGTTGGTATTGGTGGGCTCTTTGGCCATCGCGGTTGGTATTGTGTGTGTATGGGTTATATGTGGTGTGTGGGAGAGTGTTGGCCTTGGACACTGCGGTTACTTGATGGGGCTTAGGGGAAGGAGATGGGANTGCTTCGGAGGCATTTTTTCTATTGGGCTGGCAAAAAATTGACCTGGGCGCCGAAGGAAAAAGTCTGTAAAACGAACCGGTGTGGGCCTCCTTTTGGCTGGCGCGCTGCCAGGCATGTTGTTCCCGAGGCTTGAGCACTGAAAGTCGCAGCTTCATGCAAGCCGCATGTTTTATTTCTTTGGAAGGGGAATATTGTGGTGGTTTAAACCACCACCAGTACTTGGCCCAGCTATGGGCCGCAGGAATACAATAGAGTAGAAACATGTATAGTTGGATGAATTTGGGCGCTCCTGTAGTGGTCCGTACATTTCCTAAAATCGGGGCTTGTATACCGGCATGACTTTAGGAAGTACGGGTGGTTAATTAAGGAGGCCTAGTGTGAGTGTGCCTCCGGTGAGCATGATGTAAAATAATAATAATAATAATAATAATAATAAAAATCATAAAAATGGAACATGTTGTCCAGAGTCTTCAGGTTAAGTAAGCTCCGTTGAAGTTTGTTTTTCGTGTGTGTCATTTTGGTTACTTACATGACTCGAGTGTTTGACTGACTGAATATGGTCTTTTTTTATACTACTCAGTTTTTGACTGAATATGGTCTTTTTTTATACTAGTAAGGTCGGACATCGTTCGACAGTTTTTGACTGAAAATGGTCTTTTTTAAGTTTCTTTCCTTTTTTTTTTGCCGGAAATGAGGCTGAGGTCCGACATCGTTCCACAGTTTTTGACCGAATATGGTCGGGTTTTTTTTTTTTTTTTTTTTTTTTTTTTTTTTTTTTTTTCTTTGTTTTTTTTTTTTTTTTTTTTTTTTTTTGCTGAAAATTTGTGGAAATGAGGTTGAGGTCCGACATCGTTCGACACTTCTTTTTTAATCTAGTGGCCATCTTACAGGCTTGGGAAATATTGACTTGACTGAATAGGTTTTTTCTTTTTTTTTTTTAATAAATAACAAAACCGACTTTGCTCAGCGAGGAGAGGTGATAAGAGCACCCCCACCTACTAGATGGTTTCCTGGTCGCTCCAGTCTATTGGTGTGGACACTGTGGAGTGGTGGTAGTAGGTCCTGTTTCTCTCTCTATTCTTCTGGGATTACTCTGTTTTTTAACTTTTTTTGCAAAAAGTTAAAGAAGTTTATTAGCTGTAGGGTACGGACAGTTTACAGTGGTTTTCTCCCCGCTGCATATGTTGTTGTTGTTGTTTTTTTAACTTTTTTTTTTTTTTTTTTTTTTTCTGGTGTGTATGTGCTCTGTATAGTTTGCTATAGTGTAAGCATTACAAAAAGAAGAAAAGGATAAGAAAAGTGTGAGCACGAGAGGTGTGCAGACTGGATTGAATAGAAGGGGTAAGCCTTTTTGCTAAGATCAAGTGTAGTATCTGGCCTGATCTGAAGTGGAGTATCTGGCCTGATCTGATCTGTGGTCTATGGGACTATAAAAAAAAAGAAGAAAAAAGAAGAAAAAAGAAAAGAAAAAAGCAAGGGCCTGATCTGATCGTTTGGGTCTGGTCGCGAACGTTCGGTATCGTACACATATTTTACCTCTCCTTTCTTAAACAATTCCGCCAACAAAAAAAAAAAAAACGAAAGTATTATATGGATATGTGGGTTACCCAAAACCCCTATAAAAGTATTACAAGGGTAGAAGTATTTTAATTTACAAGGGTATTTTGAGTTACGCCCCCCCCCCCCCCCCCCCCCCCCCCCCCCCCCCCCCCCCCCCCCTTTAAAAATGGGGGGCCTTTTTCCCTTTTTGGCCCCCGGTGATTTGGGGGGTTGGGGGGGTGGGGGGTGGGGGGGGGGGGGGGGCGGGCAACATGCATCCCCTTGATTGTGAGAGGTAGGTATGCTTGCAGAGGTGCCCTGTACAGGCCTAGGTGGGGAATGGTAGCTACAGTCTTCCCCCGAATACAACGCACGGTCATTATAGCCGAATTTGGTCCATCTTTCAGTCTAAATTCGGCTATGATGACTGTACGTTGTATTCGGGGGAAGACTGTAGGTAATCAAAAGGTGAATCTGAGAAAAGAGGAACGATTTTTTTTTTCTGGGGGGGAGGGGGATGGGAATAGCTCTGAGCTGGTGGTTGAAACGGCTTTATATTATTTCTGGCATTGCCGGTGATCGTGCGCTGAGCCGACACGCGTGGGCTGCAAGCAAAAGTCTTGGGCTATCGGGTCCTCTGCTTTGGGTACTGGTGGTTTAAATAGCTTTAAGCTGGTGGTTAAAAAAGTGGGTTTGATACCCAAAAAAAAGTGGGTTTGATACCCAAGAGCCTAGCTCAGTGGGGACCACACCCATGAACTGTTAAAATACAGACCTGTGTTCGAATCCAGATGATGGAACTTGACGAGTGAAACCAACTATTAATGAATTGCTTGGGGCCGGTCAGCTCAATGATAATATCTCAAGGCCGTCGCCCTTTAAAAAAAAAAAAAAAGAAAAAAAAAAAAGKGGGTTTGAACTATCTCTGGCTGGGTTTAAAGTATCTCCGGCATTGACAATGATCTTGCGCTGAGCCGGTATGTGTGGGGTGCGGGCAGGTTTGGTCTATTGGGTTCCTGGCTGCCGAGCAGGGGATTCACAAAGTTGCGTTTCGCCGATCTGGCTGTGTTTGGGTCTCATCCTATGTGATGAAAATATGCAAAAGCTCTTTTATTGAGGGTAGGCGCTATTGTGTAAGGGGAAAATATAGGAGAAGAAACCTGCGAACACTACTTCTGGCAGGCACTGAACCTATGTCGTGGGCCCTCGTTGGCGCAACCGGGGGTATATGCCCAAACCAAAGTGGTTTGCTCCTTCCGTCTCCACGCTAATAAAGTGCCTAGTCATTATTGATGTACCTGGAAAGAAAGTTCACCCAAATACGTCTATAATGACCTTGCATTCTATTCGGGTGAAGACGATTGTGTGAAATCTTGATTGAGGACTTGGTTGTTTCCCATTCACCTGACGGGGAGTTATATCGTATACGTATGTAGATGATTGATATCTATGGCTACTAGCCTTGCGTGCACGGCTCAGGGTTTTGGTATGACATTCTTGTTGACATTTCCTTATTTGGAAAGCAAATCAATCTTTTGATCATGAGTGTTGATGTCATGCCTGATGACCAAAGTGGTTAGCTCCCTACTGTGAAATTTTGATTTGGAACTTGGTTCTAAATCAGCTGCTGGGGAGTTTATATGTGTGGACACGAGCTTGATATTTCTGGGTGTTAGGCTTGCTTGCATGGCTCAGGGGTTTGGCGTGGCGTTTCTGTTGTCATTTCGGCACTCTTCTGATTACATGAGTATTGATGTGGTGTCTGATGATTGGGTGGTTGCGGGCAGCAGAAGTGAGCAGTCAAATGCTGGAGCTCTACGAGCATCAGGGAGCGGCGGGTGGAGGTGGTGGTGAATCCACAGGGGCTCCTGTGCAGGCACTGTCGCAGGCAGCACAGTCGCAGTCTGTAAATCAGCCATCACGGGCGCATGTAGTGCAACAGTCACAGCCTCCTCCTCCTCCTCCTCCTCCACCCCCCCCACCCCCGCCACCCCCCCAACCTCCTCAACCAATGGCACTGGCAGCATTGCAGTTGAAGCCAGATTTGGCGCAACAACCGAGATCTCCTCTCCGCTCGCGACATAAGCTTGTGCCAGCGCACGCTTCGGAGCCCCTGTTGCAGTTCCAAGATGCGAGACCAGCCAGACCGAGCTCGCCGGCGGCACGTGCGCAAGTCGATTTGTCGGATGCTGCTCGAGAGCATCACCTAACCCCGAAGGGAGCGGGAGGGTGCAGTCCTCCCGGTACTTCCTTGCCTCCAACCAGCAATGGGAACGCTTATGTGGATACCAAAATTTACGACAGGCGGGAGATTGAGCGGGGCCGCGCCCCTGTTGAAAATGGAGTTGGAGAGCGAGGATCTCCACGGGAAAGGGTGGGGGATGCACGGCGGTGGAAATTGTTTAAGAAGCCAGAGGAGGAAGGGCTGGTGCGGCGTGATCCCGAGGATGGGCTTCCTGAAGGCAGCCCACAGCTGCCCAGAGGGAAACCGACGGGAGATGCAGAGAGGGTTGTGAAAGTTCTTGGAGAGAGGGTGGATGCCGCGGAAGATGTTGGAGAGCGTGGGCAAGGCTTGGCAGAGGAAAGGGGAGAAGTCCAGAATAGGGTTGACCCAGCCTCTGACGACGAGAGGAATGAGAGGGAGCACGAAGAAAACGAGGAAGAGATGTGGGAGCTGATTGAACAGGTGGAAGTGAATGATGGACCAAAGAAGGCAAAGCCGAAGAAGACCGTGGATAAGCGGCGGTTGCCGGTGGTTGTAAAGTCAAAAGATTTGTTGGGGATGGTCTCTCCAAGGCGGCGAAGGGTCAGTGGGATGGAGTTGAAGAAGGAAGATGAGGAAGAAGGCGAGCTGGGTGGGAAGAAACGTGTGGAGGAAGCGGAAGAGATGAAGAAGGACAAGGCAAGCCCTAGGATCGAGGCAGTGGAAAAGCGTAAGACAGCGGATGTGACGGAGGGTAGAGAGCGCGAGAAAGTGGAGGATGGTGAATTGCCGACCTTAGCGGTGACGAAGGAAAGAAGAGCGGGTACAGCGTCGGCAAGCGATGGAAGCCCTTCGCGACCAAGCCCGAGTGGTGATGCATTGGGACGATCCCGTGATCGGGGTGGATACCACAGTAGTAGTCGTTATGATCGGCATTACTACGGACGAGATCATTACCACCGGCATGTTGGCCATGGGGGCAGTGGAGGGACAGGTTTAGGGGGCGGTGCAGGGTCTGCGTATCGGTACCGCCATGGCGATGGGGTTGACAGGGACAGGGTAGACAGACATCGTCATCGGGACAGGGAGTGGCCTGGGGACGTTGAGGACCACCGACACAAAAAAGGACGATACGAGCATTGATTTCTGCTTCGTCGATTTTGTTTTCTTCTTTAGGAAATTTAGCCATCCGGAATCCTGACATGATGCAGAGAAATGTGTTCCATCATCTTTCGTCTTAGCATTTAGACTTGTGTTGCATCCATGGTTTTCTGTGATTATGCTCTTGTTTCATTCTAGCAAAGGAAAGGGGGGAAGAGGGGTGGGGGGTAAAAGGAAAGTAAACAGGGGAAAGGAGGGAGGTAGATGGAAGTGAAAAGAGGGGGGAGAGGGGGGGAGTTTGAGGCGAGAGGGAGAGAGATCGTTGAAGTTTGGGATTTGGGAGTGAGTGATCGGGGTGGAGAAGAGGGGGAGGGGGTTATGCGAAAAGCATCTGTCCATGTTATGGTGTGAAGGATTCTGTATGCAGGCCCACTTTCGTAGAGAATGATTTGCTTCGATCCGGAAAGACATCGGACTTCGGCGCTGTGTTATGGCAGGGTCAAGAAGAAAGTGGTGGTATATGGCCGGACGCGAATTATTTTGCGTGCTGGTTTGCTCATACATACTGGTTCCTTGTCCATATTCCATCTGTTCCCGATGGTCGTGGCCGCTGCTCGGAAAACCTTAATTGGTTTGTTCAGTTTTGTTCAGATTTGGAAAATGAGGAAATATGACACACATTATTCAATAAGTATCCTCTGATATTGATGATCCATTGTTGTTTGGAATTGCCAGCGGAGCACTTATGCTGTCCTCCTTCCCAGAACATCTCCCTTCCAGCGTCCGCTTCTCTTTTGCTTGGAGCATGTAGGAGAGCTTCGTGTGGCTTCCCTCCGTAACAGGTAAAGTAGATCGAAATCGCTCTGCCGACTCCAAGCAACTGAAGTAGATCGCATTTTTTGCGTGTGTGTGTGTGGTCGCATCTGCTCGTCATTGCCTGCGTATCCTGTCATGAATGGACACAGTGAGGTATGTGTCGCTTTAGTGGAGTGCTGGGTTGCCAGTAGCTCTGTACATGAAAACCTGATGAGAGAGATTGTACTCCATTTGTTAGTAGTGGTAAGCATTGTTGGCACAGCGGGTCCCCAGCGGGTCCCGTCTTCTCTCTCTCCCTTGAGTGACTTTGCCCTGGGACTCTGGACGGACTGCGCTGATGTTGGCCCTTGTGGGGCTGTGAGCCTGTGGCGAATGCGCCACTGTGCGCAGGCGCTTTGTTTTTTTTTCCTCTTTTTTTTTTTTTTTTTTTTTTTTTTTTTTTTTTTCCAAGAACGCAGGTACTTTTCTGACTACCTAGGATTTGCAACTTTGGTCGAATGAAGGATTTTGAACCATATTTGAATTCTTAAATAAATATTTTGAAAGCTGGAACTCTCCAGGAAGGGGGGTGACGCGTGGAGAAGGGGAGTGCCACAGTGTTGGTTGTCCTGCTGGGTGGAAGGGGGGGGGGTACGTGGGAGCGCGGACATGGTAGGCAAAGACCGAGGGGGTTGGTGCCACGGCGTTGGTTGTCCTGTTGAAACAGGACTTGGAATTGGGAGAGAGAACAGGACTTGGAATTGGGAGAGAGTTCCCCAAAGCGAAGGTGAAAAAGCGAGGGTGTTGAAAGGTTGGGTGTGTCCTTGAAGCAATGGATCATGCGTTTCCGTTGTGGGTGTGGTGAGTAGTCTGTTGCAGCACGCGCTGTCCGTAAACCGTCACACGGTTTGCCCGTTCTATTGTTTGTGACAACAACGGTGATATTTCGTATAATGCAGTGTCCCACTGTTGTGAAAGTGAGTCCTTGCAGGAATGGACCGGAATGGCCCTGGGACTCACAATGGGCCCGACAGTTGACGGCTGATACATGTTAAGCTTAGTAAGGGTAGACGACGTGATGGGACCCACATCCGTCAGGTCAGACCCACTTTAAGGAAAAAAGAGAGCATGATGTAGGGATGCTCTCCTGTAGGAATGCTCTGCTCACAGACAGACGATCTTCAGTGTGCTGAGGATGAGATGGGTGACGGACGAGTCATTGGAGGAGTGGATCAGGTA